TAACACATGACCTTCCGACTTCTTGCCTACTTCATATTTTTATCACTATCCCTACGGGACAGTTGGGGTAGCTACTCCAGTTGAGAAGAACTGGTAAGAAACTCAACTGTTTTTTTATGTTATCATTATTATTTTTTTAGTCAACTTTATCGTACTTATCTTACACATGTAATGGTTACAGAGATTCTTAACTTCTTGCATAAAATGTACCCGATATCAGATCTATCATAATCTTACTAATGTTAGAAACGCAATAGTTTATGAGTATGGATGGATAGATGGATGAACGGATTTTGATGAAACTTTACAGTCATATAGCTTATACATCAGAATAACATATAGGCTACTTTCATGTAGGTGAAACCGCATGTACAGTTAGTTTACTATAGATTAGTTTAGATACTCATATTAAATGTTCTAATGCCAAATTGTTATTTTTATTTTAGCTAATCGTAAGTCGAATGTCTGAGTTGATAATTATTGCCTAGATCTAGACGCTGATATTTAGAGTAACCAAGATTACTGTGGGATATGACGAAATCGGATCGGTTTCATAAATAAATAAAATAACTTCTATGAATTAGCAATACATACATAGTTAGCAATTAAAGTCCATAACTAGTGTCAACGAACAGGTTTTACTCACCCACGTTTGGTATAATAACGAACGTAAGCTATGTAACCGCTCGTAAAGCTTTTTATTTCTCAGAGAGCGCATTTTTTCAGCCCGATTTGAGTCATAATTGGGCGTTTTGATAGCGACTCCACCTTGCCTGGTCTGGCTAGCCTTGGTACGTGGTTATAATCGAGAGGTCACTGAATGTGTACTGTAAACTGCATATAAAGTATAGACTTCTCAGACTGGGATTTAAATAATTGATTCTGCTTTGCATGCCTATTTCTGTCCTATGTAAGCGCAGAAAGAGATTCCTATATAAGGTTCTTGCACATTTTATCTATATGTATGATAAAGACTTCTCTTTCTCTTAAGAACGTCACAGAGTCTTCTAGGTGAACAAAATACAAAACAGCAATGCTTACTTAACTTAGTAATTTTATATTAATTTATTTAGATGCTTTAAATAAAAAAAACATTATTTGTTATTCTATGTTAGACAAAGACACCTATATAATTAAACAGTGTAAATAACCTGGCTTTAAAAAAAATAAAAAGAAATTCAATTCAGTTTCTTGTCAGTTCTTCTCAATTGAATCTGTATACTGAACTGGATGGTAGGGAAAATTTTATATAATAAAAAAAATATATTCATAAGCGGTTAAAATGTCCTATATGATAAATTATTTTTGAATTTTAAATTTTATCAGTAGGCTATATTAGCTTAAACTCGTCCTTATTGGACGGAACCCGCACAAGGCAGTGGGACTTTAATGAGGTTTTATTTACTTATTTGAAAAAGGGCAACTAGACCCGCGCCTAAATGAGTTTTGGGCATCGTTGCCTTCTAGCCTTTTATAAACAGTTTTACTGCCTTTAAAATATTATAATGCTACGTATACTGTTTTAAGTAATAATAGGAATTTATACTAATATTATAACGAAAAGAAAATTGGTTTTTAGTTTGTATGTTCAACACATTCAAACTAAAAACCAATTTTCTTTTCGTATAGGCTCCAAAACTACTGGAGTAATTTGAATTTTATTTTACCATTAGAATACTACATTATCTATATATCAGTTAAGCGACTAAATATTGAAAAAAATATTGGGGATCCGCATAAACTCAGAAAATACTAGATATTTTTTTGATTTCTTACGCATATATGTAAGCTAGATTAATATAAAAAAATACTAGATCTAATTTAAAAAGTCATTCACCTATACAAAGCTAGATAATCAGCGTGTAACAAAGACTGGTGAACGCTTTAGCTAAACTAGCATAAACGTACAACGCCGCGGGGTAATACTAGTATTAAACAAAACTATTTCGTTTCAATAATGAATGGCCTACTCTTAAATAATTGAATGTAAGCGGATATCCTGCACATAACTCCACGGATTTAATCATGTCACATCGTCGCGGCTACGATCTTAGATATTATCTTGTTCGGTGGTCTAATGACCGTCCGAGCAACCGTTATAATTAGCTAACTCGATAAACTTTAGATAGATGCAACTTGGTTGTACAGAAATTGACTACGTGCATTATGAAAGAAGCCATTAGTGGTCAAATAATTTGTAGTACGATTACGGCAAAGATGGCTACAGACAGTCCTCTTTGTCGGTGCTGCTTTGAAGGCAAAGAAACGGCTGGCCACGTAATCCTGGAGAGAATCGTAGCAGTGGCCACACAACGAAAACAAATCCTCGGAACGGTGAGGTCGCTCCGTGAAACCTGTGAAGACACCAGGAGACTTCTGCGTTTTTGGGAAGAGCTTGGCTGGCTACTTTAGTAGTCTCGGCTCTACACGAACAACGGCCTAGATGAGAGACTGATTGCGGAAAATGGAGTCTAACTTACATTACATTATGGCAAAGATAGTAATATTTTTAGTCGGTTAGAGATATATTAATATATACTGGATAGGACTAATATAACTATGACCACAGGTAAACTATAATACAATAATTGACCCCTAATACCGGTCCAGAGATGAGGAAGACCTCTACTAACTTAATAGTCTATTATCAGTGACAAGCTAAAGAAATCCGAAATAAACGACTCTACGACCCAGGCCAGGTGTGCCTGGCGAATGTCTGGTCTGGGAGAGCCGACGACAATTGAAATGGGAAAAGGCTAGGCAGAGAGAGAGAGAGACTCCTGTGTAATAATGCGGCACAAAAATGATATAATTAGTTTGTATGTAATTTACCGTTCTACTTAGTAGTTTTTCTTCGAGGTTTCCATTAGATTTTAGTAATTTTTTTTGTGCGGCCAGATTAGGCGAGCTTACCTTTTGGATTTTCCCGTTTTTCTTCGATGTTTCAATGAGACTTTATTAAATTAGAATTAAACCGAGTAGTCAGAAATGTAATTTGACGTCGATAGTTTTTTTGTGTCGGCCAGTTTTGAACTCAAGACTTCCTAAATTGGGTTAGCATATGCTACTTCGAGGACAATGATATAATATACATATATTGATTATATATCACACATCGATCATAATATTATAACCTTGTTGCCGGCTTCTGAGTCTATTTTGCGACACATTCTAATAGGCACCTCGCCCAGAAATATCGCATGTCTTTTTCCAATCTTTTCAAGTGTCCCGGTAAAGTAGGGTATACAATGCGCCGAAATGTGACGGAGTTTTGTCGAAAGAACAACAAAGAAGTGCTCCGTTAGTGTCCAGGGGAATATGTATTGTAGAAAAGTAGGCCGCTGTTGTGGGTTTCCGTTACAGGTATGGATTTTAATATCAGGATGCACGAGGCGATTTTTTTTTAATTGGAATGACAAACAAGCTGACTCGTCTGTAGTGATACTCCTATATATATATATATATATATGTAACAGTAGTACCACGAATATCATAGCATCATGCGAAATGAAAATTCTTTATAGTTACCTCATTGAAAATAGAGTTTTATGAATTAATTTGTACAAATATATAAAAATATATTATTACTATGTCTAAGACAGATAGGTCAGAATGGTCATGTGTTATTATTCCGAAGGACTGTCATAAATGCGTTCTCTATTTCACTACCGTACCTTTTTTTTATGCTACGATGGTGGCTAACAATACGGTCGAGCCTATCTGATGGTAAAAGGTTACTGTAGCCTATGGACGCTGAAACACCAGGGTGTCACCTTTTAACTGAAACATAAGTTACAGTAACCTGTTTGGCAGTAGAAATAAATAAGACAGGACTTACAAAGTTACTCGGAAATTTCACGAGGTTGTTACGTCCATATAAAATGCCAACAGATTTCTTTAATGTTCTAAAATGATGTCTATTAACATAGTGAATACTTGAGTATTCATTATAATAAGAGCAATCTAAATATTGTAATATTTTTTTAGGTAGATAAGACGTAATATTAAAAGTGAAATTAGTTAAAGGAGCTTTTGTATTTGGTTGAAAATAATAATTTTCAGATTTAAATACATACATATATGTATATATAGCAGTTAAATACATATATATGGAAATATAAATGCTTATATAGTGTGAGCGTTTATCAAAACCATTTCTTTTTACTTAGGCAAAAATAATATCTATCACTTTCCTTGAATTAAAAAAGAATAAGGTTGTTTAAAAATATTTCTCATTATTTAATTCTATGTGACACTTGTCTAATGTTTAAGTAGGTATTACATATACATCTGTTATAGTAGAAGGATAAATAATGAACTAAGATAAGTGGAATAAACATCTATAGAAAGACAATCATGAACAACATTTTTAAATAATTGTTTTTACTGGCAACACAATTAATGGACTGTAGGAATTTAGTGGCAAATAAAAAAATAAGGTTGTCTTCAACTTGATGTACGCTTGTTATTTTTTAATGAACACATTATACAATTAAACGAATTACCCATACCTTCACTGTACAAATAATAAAAAACAAGTGCCTTTTTATCGACGTAGAATTAATCAGGTTTTTATTCAGTATGATATTTACACAATACGTTATAAAATGCATATATTACGAGTATTAAAAAAAACAGCATCAATCTATAGACAAAATAATTTGGGGAAAAAGGATCAATATGGCCAACTAGTCATATCGTTGGTTTTGGATTAAATAAATTACACTCCGTATAACTATGTAGAACTATAAAATTAAACACGTCTATTTTGAAATGAAACTATTTGAATTTTACACGTAGTGTTTAAATAGGGATTTGTCATGCATTGTATTAAATATTAAACATTATAATTATCATGCAATAGGTATACATAAATTTGCGAGTTATATATGCACCGATACGTTTGAATCGGTGCTTGATACATGCAGTTTCATAACACGTGAAACACCGTTATACAGGGGTTGCATGTTATACAAGGTTGCATTAAAATTATCACGTACCCTGTACCAAGTGGCCACCTGTGGTTTGGCGCCGAAGTCACCACCGAAAACAATATACAATACATAATATATTAATAAAAAGAAAAAGAATTAATTAATTATCATATATTAATTAAATAGATATGAGTTAAATATCTGTTAGTATAATTAAGAAACACTACAAAGGGAAGTTAATATAAAATGTATTAAAAAGAATAACCTTATACCATAGACATTTATCATTAGTTACAAATGTGGCTGTATGCCTACATCATATTATGCCTTTGCCTTTTCCCTGAACGAAAGAACAAGTTCCAAAAAAAATAATTGACTTTTTTAATTTTCGAACGTCACGCCCGGTGTGGATTGTTTTCGCGCCAATTCTGTCGGACAACGTATCGGAATGCAAATGTCAAGCGGCGTGTATCTTTCGATTCGCGTGACCGAAGTCTGTACGTTTAAGAAATTACTTCCATGTAACGGTATGTGAAAACTGGTTTGTATTGTCGAGTGTGTTGGTCCGTTGAGCGGTGATTTTTCCGAGATCTAGTTAGATTGCACTCAGACCAAGAAAAATAGTGAGTAAAGTACTTTTTCTATCAACGAAAACAATAAATTTTAGCTTACATATGCAATTGAAAACACCGTTAATGTCAAATAAAGGTGATAACCTAAATACACAGAATTTGTATGAGTCAATTAAAACTTTATTCATTATCGCAACACGATGATAGACTTAATTAGCCCACTAAAGTTAGATAACTAAGTTTCTAAATGTGGGAAATTAAGCCGCATTCCTGTTTAAATCCGCAAAAATGTATAAAGTGGTAAAAAATACAAACGATTTGAACATGATACTATGAATAGATATTAAAAATAGTTTTAATATTTCCGTAATTCTGCGGGGACATTGCGAAAGAGACATATTTATTGCGGCAGGAATGTATCGACGATGTTTTATTGTTTCGTTTATTGCAATTTACGAGTATCGCCGGCCTGTCCCGCCCACTACATCCCACGTGTGTAGTTGCTCTAATGCAAATAAATATTTAATATGATGTTAATGTAATATTTTATGTACAATATGCGTGTACTTTTTATTATACCCATACACAAATATAAATACATACATGAATATAATTTTAACATTACACAATAAATTTAAAATGTACTTATACAGGTTTAGTGGTGAATAAAATAGTAACTTGAAAGTCACGGTTACTATTCGTGTATGTGAAACACTTATAGTAAGAAGGTAAAGTGGAAATCTGATAAATTTTGAAGTTTTCACACGATCACGTGACGTGTGCTATTTATATGATGTGTTCAATTTTAATTTTCAGTTTTGAACTTTGTTTCTTCAGGTAATTAATAGTCAGTTTCATCAATATTATCCGCGAATTTCTTAATATATGTAATTTTATAAATATATGTAGTCTATATTACTTAAACCTATTTGTGAAATTGTATTATGTGTAACTTTCCACTATATTATGTGTAAAAACGTCTATCATCAACTCTAATCCCGTTTAGGGACCCCATCAATAAATTTCTAATCAAATCGAATTGGTTTTATCAAGTAAACATTGTCTTACTTGAGTACATACTTGTATAAAATGCAATATGAAATTTTGTTAGATAGTTACATTTTACAGAAAAAAAATAAAATTATCCGATTATTAAAATTTGTAATGAATAGATAAATCATCGTAAGTAATTAAAATAAAATGATTTCCCTTGTTAAATACCAAAATAATTTAAATTGTCTCCTTATTCCACTTTTGTGTAAAAACTATGATAAAACTCCTCGAACCCAAAGTCAGGATTAGTCGTAATGACAAAGGTCCCTGATTTGCAAAGTTCATTCAACAATCATAAACTTCCATCTCTTCCAATGTATATATGTCCATTAAATGTATGTATTAGAATTTGATTTGAAGACGCACCTTAGGTAAGGCGGCAAGGCACTGCTGCTTGACGTCCCAAACGAGCTGGTCCCTCGGAAACTGGAGGCTCTTTTGCACGTTAAGTTCTGGAACGTGCACGCGCACTAACAGCCACCCCTCCGCGCCCTCTGAGCACTCCCCCTCCATTACGCTACGCCATCTGTAAACAAATATATAAATATATAGAAAATATATAAGTATAAAAACTTTTCTTTTCGGACTACTCTAATGCTGTTGGCTGTAGCTAGCCTTTACAGCTTCACCGGACGATATGCGAGTGCAGATGGCACCCCAAATCCTGTGGAAGGACTTATGGAGTGGCTGAAGGCCAACTCCTGATCGATACTACATTAGTCTGAGCTCGCCGTTAGGGATTCGAACCTCGGCTCAGGCCGTCGTAATTTCGATCCCCATTTGAACTACGCTTGTTTTAAAGGTGAAATCACAGTAGGTAAAGCCGTAATAGGTATTTGTCAACGAAGGATAATAGAGTGTAGGGTTTATTCTTTCGGACAATTATTTTGTAATAACAGTACATATACAAGAATAATAATAAAAATTATATGAAACCAAAATATTCCTTAATAAGAAATTCAGTCGACTTTTTTCTAGTTCTTCTCAATGTAATGTTAATAGTGAACTGGACAGTATGGAAAAAAATATTAATACATAAAACTTGATGTTCATTAACGGCTAAAATATCGTACACAAATAAATGATTTTTGTTTGATTGATTGATTTATAACTCGAAGTATACTCAATATAGAGAACTTTGTAACTTTGTTATTATTTATGACGAAACGATAAGATTATAATGATAATTTTGTTGTGATCAGTTTCTTTATAATGTTAAAAATGACTAATAAATTGTTAAAATTAATATGTATAATGAGCAATATTACCTATAGTGTGACTAAAATGAAAAACATCCGATTTAATCTAATTAGTTACCTAACGTGTAATGATTAAGGCTGGCTCACTGGGTCCGGTTGAATTTCTGTGAAACACACTACTCAATAGCTGATGGCGCCAATGCCGATCACACATCGTTGTTTATAAGGAAAATTCTTTTGTGTATTCGTATTACTAGCTGTTATATGCAACTTACGTATTGTCACGTACTATCCTCAGGTTACAGATTTGTAAACAGAATACATCTGTGTACAAGAGGATCAAGTAGCATCTACATTGTATAACAATGTTGGGCTAACTTTACATGTATCAGTTTTGTTAAAATAAATAACCTAGATAAACTTACGTAAATAACATGCAATAAATTTGTAAATTTAAATTAGGATGAGTTGAATACGTAAACATTTTACGCGGGTAAAACTTATGACAGCTGACTTATAAGTATATATTATTTAAGATGATGAGATGATGGATGGAGCTGTGCTGGCGGGGCACCATTGTAGTCAGGTAATTAAAACATAGTTTGAATTTATTATTGATATTGCGTTCAAACGAATCCTTAAAGATAGATAGACGACGAGCCTATATTTTGTTTTTGTATTGATAAATTAATGTCGATTGTATGGGAATTTTAAACTAAGAATGACGCAAAATATGCAGTATGATTTTGTCATATATTTCCCATTTTCCTACTTTTAGGGTGTCGTGTCTGGAAATTTTCATTGTTAGTGTGTTATGTATTATAAAATAAATAAATGTAAATGTGTGAATTAGTGTATTAGTATAACAATTATAAGGGGTACAAGAGAAAACTTAGGCATACATCGAAGTTTGTTCCCAAAATTAATACGATATTTGATGGGACAGCATCGAATACCTACCGGGTTTTTATTTACCCAAAGCAGCATGTCTAATTGTACACCACGCCGTTACGATTACGTTACGAATTCGGCAGTCACATGGAATGTAACTACAGCTTTTTAAATATATAAATATATGTATATATCTGAATACCACAATAGCGAAAAAGTGTGGTACATTTAATGTACTTTTTATAAATCTCTTTTCGAGTTTTTTAAGATTCAGTTTTTTTAAAGGATGATTATGGTATGGTAAATCCGCCTACGCTTATGGAATACGCTGGCGCGACACCAGTGGGGATTGATAGGATGGGTATGAGGTCAGGTCAGTTAGCCCATCGTGGTAAATTTGGCAGGAATATGTCATGATGATTTTTAGGGGGAACCACGTGGAGGTCAAACTGGCAGGGTAAATTGCTAGTAATGGGGTCATCAGTACTAACAAATCCCTTCCCGTCGGCGAGGTACAAATAGAAGATGCCATGTGAATGGAGTTAGATCAATTGACTCATAGTAGCGTATTCAATAAGATTTAATTTCAACAGTTTAGAAGGCCCAGAAGAGAATATATTTATCAGGAGATTCTAGGATCGCTATGTAAGGATGGAAGTGAGAGTACAAATGACTAAAGAGCTCGGATATAGAATGCTCTTTTATTATAAAATAATATTATTATGGTTGGTATTCTATGGTAGGTAAGCTATACACTACATAGTAGAATCGAGCTGACAAGGTTACGTTGCTAGCTACATGGTTAAAGGTTGCGACTACTAGTAATCATTTCTCCCTAATTAAGTTAGGTAGGAGCGAATATTCTAGAAACCTTAGCATAACGGTATCTAGGTGTTAATTTAATTACCGTTTTAACGGTTATATAAAACCATTACAAAGGACCGCAACTCTGAACGAGGCCATAAAAATAGCCTATAAATACAATGGGTTGCATAAATAAACTCCTTTTATAGGATAGTATTTCAATCAGAGAAGCATCTATAGACCAGTTGCATTGCAGTATTTGCCTGGGTGAATTAGTATAAAGGTTGTGACGTATTAGAATTCGATGAAGTTAATTAATTTGAATTGTATTAGAATTAATGTTAATTGTATTCTGGTTTTTTCTGAAAATTTTGCCATTTAAAAGTAAAATAATTTTATTTGCGAATATTTTATTACTGGATTATACAATAATAACATATCCATAATATGAATATGTATTTGAATATATATATGCACTATATATGTATACACTAAAACAGTATTAAGAAGAGTTAAGACCTGCTTAAAAAAAATCAACAAAGTCAATATGTACTGGGTGAAGAGAGCTCACAGTAACAGAGAAAAATATAGGTAACAGTTTCAAATTTATATTAGGAGTTTCAATTAACTTCAAAAAACATCATCTGCTTCCATAAGTTTCCTATCATTTTCTCTGTAGAACATGAAATGCTAAAAAAATATTGAATATTAAATACAACAATTTCTTATTTATTATTTAAATTTAATTATTAATTTGAAAACAATATTTATCACTATTTAAATTTGCCTGACTGCTTTGCTATTCCGAAAATTATGTATACAGAGAAAGGAAAAAGAAAAACGCACCCAAATATTGAAAAGTTCAAGTCAAAATCCGACAGATCACAGTCTCAGCAACTATACGCGTCCCTATCTTTTTGTAACAAATGAACAAGCGTTCTTAAGTACAAAACTTGAGTATCACGTACTCACACAGCGAAGATAACGTTATCTAACGAAGTAGGTACCACAGTAAACACCTGTGTACGCATGCGCCGACGCAACGTCATACTGGAGCCCAAATGTTCGTATTTCTAATAACATCGTAATAATAATTACTGATGCCCCAGTTACTTGAAGAAACGTGTCTAAACTAATTCGATTAGTTGGAATATAGATATCTATTTGTTATGACAGGTGACTTACTGATAAATAATTAATGGTGTTTGGTATTGACAAGATTTAGTTAATTGGGTTTCGTTATGCAAATGTGGATTAATTCATAGAAAACGTACAAGACGTAATTGAAAAGACTTAAGACTTACACAAACATGCCTCGGGCTTGATTTTGTAAAGCGATTGCAATCAATTTCCATTTGAAACTCACTGAAACTCGTAGTTTAACTCGTAGATAACTTTTTAAATAATAACATTTAAAGGAATAATAATCTAGCCTTTGTGGCATCGATATAATCAAGCACAAGTCCTTAAGGTACCATTTCGCTATCAAAATGAAACACTAGGATGTAAAACAAGCATCGCATCACACAAAGCTACGTCGCATATTTATTCGATTTTCTAGTGTAAATGAAATAATTATATTTTCGAGCTTTTTATAACTATGCTTTTTTTAACAAATAATTTTCGTATTAGGCGTGAGAAATAACGAAGTATGAGATAAATAAAGATGCTTGGATGAACTCAGTATTTCGGATTCAAATTCTGAGCAGAATTGGATCCGCTCAAAAAAATCGGTCAGTTTGGAAGATTTTATTGGTCGAGGTGAACATTAATCCAATACGTATTTATATGTTCATTTTATCACAAGGTTAGCAGTAAAAAAATCATATAGGTACTTATTAAGTAATTAAGATTAGGCTATAGGTACGACTGATAATTTATCAATTAAACCCATTTGGATTTATGAGTTTCAATTCCATGTTTTCAATGTATGCCGAGGTTATATTTATACTACTTGGCCCACAAAATATAAATAGATATGTCTATTGATATTAGATTAATAAAAAAGGCTAATATTGTAACGAGTAAGTGAGAATTTTGTGTATATGTGGTAGCTAATCAACGAATTAAGTCTATTTACATTCTTGCACCATTTGAATGATACAAATACAGTTTTTTTGTATATTGTTCAACCTGGGTATATATCTATGTAACAATAAATTTCTTCTGCTATTTAATATGTAATTTCGTAATATCAACGTACCTTTACGTTAATGATAATTGTATACCATCAAACGAGTCAAGTTAACAATTAAGTTTATCCACTTAATTGTTAAAATTGTTGACTTAATAAAGTTTTATTGTATATTTTATTCCATTCACATGAAATATGTTCAGTAGAGTAATAATACATAATATGCGAGTTTATCTCAATAAACATTTCCTTCCGTCAAATCAAGGAGCAAATTTGATATTAATTTTAAATTTCGACCCATTGTAACTAATGTTATTAAAGCGAAATCGTGTTTATTTGTTAGGTACTCGTTCTTTTAATCATTCATCATGAAATCTGGCACGTAGATATAATATGTATTGGAGAAGAGAATAGGCTATCGTATTCCGGCCAATCAATTAAGGTTACGCGGGCGAAACCGCAGACAGAAGTAAGTCAACTATATAAGTTTCAATATCT